AGGCTCGCCCAACCCCTGGGGATGGATGTGCCACAAAGCCCAGCCCAGCCCCGCCTCCGTTGGGACCATCACCAGTTGCGCTGACTGGAGGCCGTGTGTTCAGGGCTCACCCACTCAGGGGGTACCGGGTGCAGCCCTGGGCCAGGCCCACGCGGCAGCCTGGAAGGGCTCAGAGGCCTGCCTGCAGATGGGGAATGGGCAGGGGCCAGGGCTGTGTGACCTGCCTACCGGCCAGGACCTGGAGCCTGGGGCTGGTGGCCCCTCCTGGGTCTCAAGGAAGGTCAAACCACCCCTAGTCTGTGGCCATGCATGAGACCCTCTGGCCCAGGGTCTGGGGACTTGGGAGCGCTGTGGGCATTAGAAGGAAGCTAGCCTGTCCCCAGAGCCCAGTGGAGCCTGGGGTTCCTCCCCTCTAGCTGCTCCGGGAGGCTTTGAGCCAGCCGCGGAGGTGGGACAAGCTGGGTTGTCCCCAGCACTTGAGGGGACGGCGGGCGGACAGGGAAGGGCCCCCAGCCCCGCCTGCTGCTCTGGACCTGCTCTGTCACCTCCCTGGGCCTGGCTGCACGCTCAGCAATTACCGAGCCACAGAGTCCAGCCTCTCCTCTCCCGGCCCAGACCGGTGCCCACGGGGACACCTGCACCCCGCTGCCCCAGGAACGCTGGCCTTGAGAAATCTGTTGGCCATGACAGTGGGAGGAGGGCTCATTCATTCACACAAAACTATTGATTAGGCGCCTACTGTGTGCCTGTTCCAGGAGGCGGGAAGAGATTGGGAATTTGTCAGTCGGGAGCCTCCGATGCGGCCCATCCTGGAGGGCGGCAGCCAGCTGGGCCCCGGGGCAGAGGCCGCAGGGAGGCAGCTGAGGAAAGGGCGGGTGGCAGAGACCCAGCCCCGACCCGGCGGGAACAGGTGGAGGGACCTGGCGAGGGTGGTTAAGAAGAGATGAACGGGCTGGACGCTGACTGGGGCCCAGAGGGGTGGCGGCGGCTCTGAGCAGGGAAGGGGCAGGGAGGGGGGCGTGTGAGCTGTAGGGAGCAGCCTGGCTGGTGGAGGAGCAGGGCCACGTCCCCTCCCCTCCGCTTAGAGAGGGTGCTTAGAGTCAGCGCTCCCTCAGGAGGGGTGCTGGCCCGGGCCCCAGGGTCCCAAGACACTTCCCCGAGGGACGGCTCCGGAGGGCTGGGGAGCCGGCAGGGCCAGAGGAGGGAGGCTGGACGCGGAGGTCAGGGAGAGGCTCAGTGTCCCCTCTGCTGGGACGGGCGAGGGCGGAGGTCCGCAGGGAGGTGCGAAGGGCTGGGAGCTTTTCACACCTGTCCAGAAAGATGGGACGAGGGGGCTGTGCACGGACGCCCATCCTGCGCGCACACGCACACGCGCGCTCGCGGCCCCTGCACCAGCGGAGCAGTGACGAGTAATTTGCTGTTGGCGGGCTCAGCGCCTGCCTAATTCGCAGTGACACCGCTCAGCTGCCGAGGGCTCCAGCTGTCACAGCCGATTAGCCTGCGGCGGCGGAGAGCCGACGGGGACCGGGGGCGGGGCCGGGGCAAGGGGCGGGCCTGGGAATCCCGGACCCGCCCGGCGTCCCCGGGCTCAGCCAGGCCTCCCGCCCCGCGGGGCGCACCTCACTGGTCCGCCCCCTCCGCGCTCTCGGCTCCCTGTTCGCCCACCTCCCCCTTACTTCCTCCTCTTCCTCCCCCCTTCTCTCCCTCCTCCACCTCCTCCCTTGTGCACTGCTGCCGGATCCTGCTAAAATGCACATTCCCGGGGCCCCTGGGCGGGCCGAGAACCTGGATTTCTAGGGCACTCAGACCCGAGCCTCAGAGGCCACACGGCTGCAGTTTTCTCTTGGGGGTTGGGGGGGACGGGATTTACGAGGAGGCGAGTTTCTGGGCGGCGGGGGAGGGGGCGTGGGCTTTCACGCTCAGCCCAGCAGCCGAGACGCCCCCTCTGCCCGACCGCCCCGGGAGCCCAGAAGGCTGGGCCGGAGGGCGCGGAGGGAGGCCGGGGACCTTCCAGCCGCCCAGCGCGGCGCCCTCCTGCTGTCCCTCTGGGCCCTGGGGCTCCCCGAGCCTCGCCACCTCCTCCACGCGGGCCTCCCTGACTCTGGCGCCCTTTCCTGGCAACACCCTGGTTAGGTGCCCTGAGGCCCGCTGGGGTCAGCATTCCAGGGTCAAAGGCTCCCCTTCACTGGGCCGCCGCCTTCCCAGACAGACGCACCGGCCGCCCTGGGACTTGCTTCCGCCGCGCGTCCCACCCTGCCGGCCGTTCCCTTCGCAGCCCCTCTGGGGGCGGGCTCCTCCCTCTCCAGCCCTGCGGCCACTTCGTCCTGGTCCTGGCTGGCCGGGGACTGGCTTCTCCGCCTCTCCTGTGGATCCTCCCCTTACTGCCCTCCCTCCCACCGTGTCCCCCGAGAAAGACCAGAAGGGACACCGTGAGGTGTCCAGCACGCGCCAGGTGCCAGATCTGTGTGACCTGGTGGCCTCCTGGCGATAGGCCTGGGGGTGGCAATGACCGGTCTTACAGAGCAGGGCGAGGGTGCAGAGAAGCCCGGGACTGGCCTGAGGTCACTGGCGCGGGGTGGGGGTGGAGGGTGGCGCAGCTGGACTGCGAGACCAGGGTTGGCCCCTTTTCGGCAGGGCACTGGCCCCAGGGGGCAGAACCCACCACTTCCAGAGACGGGAGGGGTTGTATTTATTTTTTATAAGTTTATTGATTTATTTTGAGAGAGAGTGTGCAAGCAGGGGAGGGGCAGAGGGAGAGGGAGAGGGAGAATCCCAAGCAGGCTCCGCGCTGTCAGTGCAGAGCCCGACACGGG